CTTTTATAAAGAATATCTCTTTGGATTTGAGACTTTAGTCTTTGCAACTTTACAGATCTTCTTTATGCACCAAGAGCTTGTAACACTCCAAAGAGAAAGGAAAAATTGAAATCGCATCATATGACCCCTTTAACACTGGAGAAAAGCCTTACACATGTCCTCGGTGTGGAAAGAGTTTGTCAAAAACGATAACTTGAAGTTCACATGAAAATTCACACTGGAGAAAAGTTTCAACCAAAAAGGTAACCTTATGTACCACGTGAAGATTTACTCAAGAGGGACCTATTTAAATGTCTTTAGTGTGGAATGAGTTGTACAGACGAGAAAAACCTAGGAATCATGCAGGGACATCGAAGAGAAGCCTGTTATGTGCCATCACTGTGGAAAGACTTCCAGAAACAAAGCAAATCTTGAGTTTCACATAAGCTGGATGATGCATACCATCTTCTGTAGAGCTGCTTTACAACTGAATCCCATCTTGAAACATTGACATTGGCACCTAACTGAATTACCTGCTTTACAGCAGAATCTGAACTGCCTCCTGTAGCGTTTGGACTAATCATACACAATTATTTGCTATATTTAACAAATAATCCCTAACATCCCTCACCCAACCAACAAGCCAACTTCCCCCAAAACGCAACTAACACCTCAAAAAGGCAGAACAGGCCTCTGGTTTCATGGCAACCAATGACAAATCATCTGATAACACTAGTTTTATTGCTCAAAAGAATGCGGGCAGAGCAACTCTCACTACATTTCCCCATAGAAAAGGACTCTTCTCTAATTAATTCATAGACAAACCTTTCTGAGAATGCACACCCATATCCTCAGGTCGTTATGTGTATTATTACTGTTCTTGTAGATTCTCTTTTGTATTGTATACTGTTTTATGCATGCGTTATGATAGAATCTGTAGTTAATGTAACTTCACCTATACCATGTTTGGTATCTATGAATTCATGTGTTGATGATCTAAATGAGTGTATATTATATGTTGTATTGGAGTTATTTAATACTGTAAATTCTTTAATACATTTTCAGTAAGCAAATTTTGAGAATAATAGGGTATTGGTGTGTTTGACAGGAGGGCCTTCATCCAAGGATAGAAAAGTCTAAGAATGCAGTTACATGATTCTAGAACTTGTCACCACCATTGAAATACCATCACTGGCGTAGAGAGAAAACATTCTGAGAGATGAGGCTATAAAAGAGGAAGAATGCCCTCCCTTCACTGTCACACACTCTGCAGCATCTAGACTGTAAGGTAAGATTGTCTGACCTTTTCTTGCAAGAAAATAAACCATCTTAAAGACAATTGGACATGTTTGTCTCTTATTCAGTGATATAATTTCTATTTGCCACAATATTTAGATACCAATGCAACATATTAGTGTTCTAAGAATCTTTCACTGATTCTTGAGGCATGGGTCAAAATATGTCCAGCAATTGTAACTGTTATTAGGATTAAAAATGAAGTTATTTTTAATTATATTAAATAAAATAGTGTTGAATTTTTCTAATAATGTATAAATTCTAAATATGTGACCTGATAGCATATATTGCTTTTGTGGATTGATAGTCATCACTTCTAGCTGAGTTAGGTTTGAGGGAACATAAGGCTGAGGGAACGCATAACACTCGATAAAACATATCTATACATAATACAGTTCGTTTGTATTCTGATTAGAGATGTAAATTTTTCGACCATGCTTTTGGATGCCGTTCGAGCCCATATAGCCTACATTTACGCAACTTTGTTCTTGGTCACGAATTTCCACAAATTCATTAATATTTAGGCATTGTTTCTTTTCCTAAATCCTCACCGTCTAACCCTCTAATTTCGCAGGTTTATTTTATTGTCATTCACTTTTTATCACTGTTTTCGCATCTCTTACTGGTAAACATGCGGGAAGGGAATGAATGATGATGCATTTATATACCGTCACCGTCACTCACAGCCACTCGCACGCGTTTTGCGCGTTTTTGCCGCACGCAGCCCAAAATTAAACGACTTAATCGACCATCGATAGCTTTAATCGATTGCATCTCTTATCGACAATTAATCGATCACCGATTAATCGTTGACATCCCTAATTCTGATCATATTTGGATCATTTTTTAAGATGTTTAAATGTGAATATTAAGATCCTGGTGAATGTACGTAAATGGATAGAGGTAAAAACTAATTGTTTTATTTGTTCATATGACTGTTTTTGTTCTGAGATAAAAGAAAATAAATCATTTGTGTTCCAATGATATATCAAAATACTTGAATGTGAATCTTGAATAAAAGCTTTATAAACAATAACGTACTCACTGTTTGTCAGAGGTGGACAGTAACGAAGTACATTTACTTGAGTACTGTACTTAAGTACACTTTTTCAGTATCTGTACTTTTTTCTGGAAACTTGCTACTTCAACTTCACTACATTTGAAAGACAAATATGGTACTTTTTACTCCGCTACATTTATATCAAGGTCCCTGAGTAGAAAGTCGTTATATGTAGCAGTTTTTCCAGTGTGTGCATTTTCAGATTCACTGAACCCTTTTTTTATGCGAAAATCTGGCCTGCGATCTGCCAGGACCTTCCAGTGTTGCCAAGTCTTAGAGTATTTCTAACGCCCGTTTCACACTGCAAGCGTGAGCGGCGCGTGAGCAGCACGTCAGTGTAACTACACCGTCGCTACAGCTGCAGATGCGCCCGAGTATTCACACGGGAAGCGTTTGTACAGCGTCACAGCAGCGGCTCCAAAGCTACATATTTCTTTACAAAGACAACTATAAACTTGTTTTTAGAGGTTGGTCAGTTATAAACTTGAATGTTTTGAAGCCTTGAAAGTTTGTTAACACGGGGATTCGCGTGTAAATGGTAAACAACAAAAACAGCTCCTATCATCTCGTTTCCGTCATACTCAAATATAGAACGTGCTGTTTAAATGTTTTTTTTTTTATAATACATACTTTTACCCATAGGCGCTTACCCAGATATGCGCTATTAACCAAGTTATAGATCCATGTGTGTCCATAATCTCCATGTCCATTTCTTATAGAAGATGTCAATAGGCTTTATGTAAATTATTTGTAATTAAGCTCCGTTTTTGTAACTGATCGGGAGAAATGTGAATTATTCATTGGATTTTAACTAATTATTAGGCTAAGTAAGAATGTCAAAATGTATTTAGCCTATGTAGAACTGAATAAAAAAAGTTTTAGCAAATTGTAATTTAAATCTTAATATTTTTTCTTAGAAGCTGTCAATATGATTTATACGATTGTTTTGTGTCTGTGTTTGTCTTGTGTCCCTGTTTGTAATTTGTGCCTTGTCCGTTTCTGTAACTGTAGAACGGAAAATAAATAAAAGGCGTAAGTTTGTCACGTCAATCGTAAGTGAACACGTGTGCAATATTTACAGAATACAATATTTAGGTTACAGAAGCTGTCAATAATGAATGAATAATGAATTTCTTATGTAGCCTATATACTCCATTGTAACTTAAGATCCTGAGCAAGATGAATTGTTCGTTGAGAGCTTAATAAAATGTTTTAAGTGATAATTTGCTTATGGCAATTAAAAATTAAAAACAAGTTAAAATGGGTAAATCTTCTATACATATTTTTTATTCTTAATTTTCTTTCCTGGCATACTCCAATTCATGTTAAAACACACTAGACATGCTTATTCTGTGCATTTTTAGCACGTTTTGTGTGAAATCATGTTTATTTTGTGCATCAAAAGTGTGCTGTCACTTTACTTGAGCGTCAGCAGCGCAGCAAAAATAGACTCGGCGTCGAAACAATCGCTGCAGCGCTGCTCCTGCTGCCGGTGTGAATTCACTCATTGATTA